TTGTACTCAGATTTATACTTTCCTTTTAATAAAGGTTCAAATCAAAGCTGCATCGAACTATATATAACTTTTTCCTTCTAACTAGTTTCATTCTGAGAAAAATACGAAAAACACATCGCAATCGGTTTGCGGAGGGAAATACTCGTTTCTCCCTACTTATCTGTTTAAAAGATATAAAAGGTTTATAGAAGGGCTTTTATACTGTTAGGGAAAATTTTCCATATTTAGTGATCCATGGGGATCTTTCCGAATCCGTCTGGATCCATGCAGTTCTATGTGTAGACGCGGATCCACCTTTCCCCCTTGTAAATATTATTACCCCAAAAAAAGGATTAGAAGTAGCTCATTGTCCTTTTTGGAACAATATCTTTTGTATGCAACCCACGGTATTTCGAACACATTTGGTGTTCCTTCTCTACACGAAATCTGCATTCAAGTTCTGCCACTGCATAGATAGATACCACTCAAAAGTTCTCACGGAAACAGCATCGATGAACACGTATCTCATTCAGACAATTTGTGATAGGACTTTAGAGTACTTAACTCACCTCGTCAACTGAAAACAATGAGCTTAATAATGCCTCATATAGTGAACCGATAAACATAATTGGTCCTGACGATGAATATCGTTCATAAAACATGCCCATAAACCGCTCAAAGTCAAATAAATCATTTTCATTTGTGTCATCTGTTGTTAAACATGGACATTGTTGATACTTTTCTACGATATGAAGCGATACTTACTGTAATTTGATTGATAATCAACGGCGGTTGAGAGCACCACTTCGGTAGGCGCCAGATTGATGTTCCCAGTCATATGGGGATCCTCATCATTTTCCGGTTCAAAATCAACGAAATCATCTTCGCTTGTCTCATCTGCTAACAAAAGTCAGCCTGTTAGAGAAGTTTTTCACAGTGTGAGAAACTTACTTAAACGTTCATCTATTGCACTTCCTTTGCGAGATATGCGCAGTTCTTCAGATGTTTCGGTCTTAAAATTAATTGAATCCTCGTTTATGCAGTCATAAAATACTTCCGAATTATCAGTGTCAGTCATGACTTTGTGTGAAGAAGTTTGTTTTTTTCCCGAAAAATATATGAGAATTTCTTCTATAACTGTCATTCGTCTTTTACTTTTATTCTGTCCGTTGAAAATGTGTGATTTTTCCCCGTTACTGGTAGCGTTATTGTATGTCGTTTTTGAGTCATAGGAAGAGAACTCAAAAAAACAAATACAGCGAGAGATTACATGAAATTTCATTTTGAAGAGACATGTGTTTCTGGTTGTTCTTGTTAAAAAATACATTACCCGTCCACACATGAAAGTGAAGAACAGAAAAACAGAGAGAAAGCAAAACACAAAAGAACACTGTACAAATGATCGAAGATCACTTAAACTATAAATTCAAATGCAAAAAACTTCACGCTTGAACTAAATTGCCCAAAAATAAATTCTAAGATGTTCTAATCCCTATTCTATGCATTTTCCACTGTATTCTACTCCCTCACTGCTTCCTCCGCGTAGTTTATACGTCCTGGTAAACAGAAGCCTTAATGGAAAAATGTCATACTTAGCCGCATATATACTAAAAGCAGCCCTTGAGCAGATTTATGCCTTTAATTAGCAAATCTTACCAAACACGCCGCAATCATCGGTTAATGTCAAAAACGAGCTACAGGCAAACGTCTAAACCAGCACCAATTAAACATCAGCTTCTTTTCTAAAGATAATGTAACGGATTAGTATATATATTTGTGTGTTTGTATAGTATAGTGTGTGTGCGATCGTTGAATGAAACTTTCTTAAATAAACGTTAGGTGACAAAGATTTTCGTTCACCCGGCAACTAACAATTGGTACACTAGCTGATGGTAATACCAGTAAGTGATCTAAGTTTATGGCAGTAGCAAGGTCACAGCAACAATCACCTGCTGATCAAAACCCGCAAGACTCTTTGGAAGAATTGTTCGGTTCGCGGGTGGACGAAGATCTTTGCCATCTAACGTTTATAGTAGAAAGTTGCGTACAAGGATAGAGAATTTTCTGCTGTACAACACACAATAACTTTGCTATTTACATAGTACTTCGTTAGACCAAAAGTAACAAACAATATTCATTATTTGTTCAATTTTTTCAAAAGCTCAGCGAATCGGTTGAGCATCGCCTCCGGTGGTTTTCTACTACAATAGTTGGTCAGTTGTTTCGTGACTTTAACCACGATATCTTTGAGTTCATTGCATATTTGACTTTCTCGTTGTTCATATGGACGTAGGGCTCTGATTTGGTCGAATATAACTTTCACCTAGAAAAAATTAATCTTCGAGCACACTGATATCAGACAAATTGGCAGCCAGGTATAGCAGTCTTACCTAGAGAAAGGTAGGCCAAATCAGCTTTGGTCAATGGAACATGAGGAACATCGACAATGACTTCAGGAGACACACCAACCGTTTTCCTTGCCGTTGATGAGCGTGTTTGGTAAGATTTGCTAATTAAAGGCATAAATCTGCTCAAGGGCTGCTTTT